ATCATATCATTGCATCGAGTTTAAACGTTATTAAGCAACACGAAAATGATTTAATCGCTCTGAAGAAAAACAACACATTTTCTTCCTCTAGTGTGTTAATCGACTCTTTATTCATAGCCGCTTCGATGACCATAGAAGAAATCGCGGTTTCAATGGAACTTAAAACAACTCAAGCAAGAATATCACCCTCTACCGACGCTTACTATCTACCGCCTTGAGGAGCCAAACAGACGCATTCTTAGCGCGGATCCTTGTTGGCTTTACGTTCGCAGATTCTGAAGTGCGAGCGAGTTACTTATCATGTTCATGAGGCCTTATACCTATGTCCTTTCAGGAAATCGGTAGTACCGCTGTATCCCTGCAGTTCTCGACACTAACTGCAGAGCGCTTGTATGTCTGTATTTCCCTGCGTGAAAAACACGATCTCTCTAACAAAAGAGTCTAAAATAAAATTTAATAAACGGGAAAGCTATATATTAGTTGTAAGTTAAACATTGCTTTCTGAAAAAATTGAACTTTAAAACTAGTCGCTGCCTACAACAAACATTTACTTCTCACTTATTAGGAAACAGTACGCCAATATTCGCAAAATTTATTGTACTTCGATTTTGGATTTATTTATGATTATTTTTAATTTATTTGATGCGTATAATAGTTCCGAAGAACATCTGTCTATTACCACTAAGTAAACATTTATTAAAAATTTGTTACAAACGTAAATTGCATTGGCTTTATTTCATATTCTTGTATTATTATGATGACGGGGGGTTGCGGGGAGAGGTGGGGTTGGAGCGGTGCGGTGTGCGGCGCCGACGCGGCACGTCACCTGGGCGTGGGAAGGGGCGTGGGAGAGCGGCGGGTTGTCGGGGAGGGCGGAGTGGTCGTGTGGAGTGTCTTGGCGTGGCGTGGCGTGGCGCGACCGGGGGGGGCGTGGCAGGAGGGGGGTGCGTGTGCGTGGTCGTGGCGTGCGCGGGGCGTGGCGGGAGCGCCCCCCGCCCCCCCCCCCCCCCCTCCCCTCCCCCCCCCCCCGCCCCCCTCCGGCCCTGGCGGGGCGTGGCGGGGCGTTGCGGGGTACGTGGCAGCTGAAGGGGGATTGTGGCGGGGTGGCGGGCGTGGTGAGTGGTACGTGGCGGGGCGTTGGCGGAGAGTGGCGGGGACGATACGGAGATAGTGCGGGGCGGACGGAGCATTGGGAGGGAGGGGACCGCAATCCGCTTGCGGGGAGGGCGGTGGCGGGGCAAGGGCGGGGCGGGTCACCCGCGCGCGTCTCCTCCTTATTCGCCCTCCGTGCACCGCTGCTCCTTTCCCTTCACATGTCTTCTCTGACGGTGCGTCTCGCGCTCAATTCACCCCCCTCCGCAGTTTTTTAGTTTTTCTCGAATTGCGCTTATTTGTTACTATTAGTGGCCCTTAGCGGAGTGATGTCGGTTGGCATTTAAAGATGCCGTTATCGCAAAAACAATATTGTTTATTACATGAGCGGTTATTTTGATGCGTAGCCTCATGCGTCAGTTTCCAGCAGTAGTGCGTTTTGTTCCTTCCAACAAGGCGACCTTGGATGTTGATGTGATGAAAGATGATATGTGATTAAGCAATCGAAAACCTCTCTTGCAATAAACCAATATTGTTAGGGCAATTAGATTATACTAAATGTTATTTATCATTTTTCGTTTCCATTTTTTATAAGTTCGTCAACGCTTAGTTGAACTTTGGTGAAGAATGGTGGTTGAAAGGTCTGTTTTTTTTCTTATTTTTTTTTATTCTCGTAGTCTCGATCAGACATCGTTTTCGCTGTTTCTTCAGCAATTCCCCAGTGTCTATTACACTTTCATATTCTTTTTTATGAACATGTTTTGGTTGTTTCAGGATGTTACTTAGTTCCTTTTTTGTTTTGTTTTTCTTTATATAACCGAAATCGAAACCTTGTTATTGTTGTCCGTTTACTCAAAACGACTTAATAAATCTGCAAGTATCTTTAATACAATGTTAAACGAAGAAATACGTTTCACCTTTTCTTTTTTTGTCCGGCTATTTTATTTCTAGATCTGCCAAAAGCGGTTATGGCCCGGCTTTCGCACATTTATTACCTTTACTTTGCTTCCCCGTAGCTAAATTCCCTCATCTTTTTCTTCTTTTCCCCCGTCCACCACAACCATTTCCCAACCCGTTCCCCTCAGCCGCAACGCGACTGGCCATCGCTGTCCCAAGCGGAGCCTATCCTTTATTGCAATTTGGTGCGTAATTCAAAAATTTTCTATTTCTAATAACCGCACTCCACTTAATGGTATATATAATGTCTCTGACTTTTTTGGAGTGGGGATGCGTCGCGATTCCGCGCTGTTTTAGTCACTTTTAGCCGCGGAAAGTTCAATATGTTCCCATTTCTGGATGTCTGCGCGGGGGAGGCGCATCGGCTTTTAATTAAGCCCGGCGCAGCCCTGCGGGGCCGCGCCTCCGACCTCCGCCCCGGGGCCGGCCGGGGCGCGAACGCAGGCGCCGCCTGCAGGCTCGCATTTCTGGCGAGCTGGTGTCCGTGCTTGCGCCGATCATAACTTGGTTGAATCTGGGAGAGTATCTATAAAACGGGACACCAAACCGAGTGCCGTCTTTCATGCTCATCCTTGTTTCTTTTCTCCCCAGCTTGCGCTTCAGGGCGTCAGTTTGATTGTGGACTTGCAGCGCCTCTGACCAGTGAGGTCGTAGAGTCGTAGTCTTGAATGGCGCGGCTCGTTAGGATTTTGTATTAGCTCGGTTTGAAACGCAGTCGGTGCCTTAGAAAGAGGAATTCTATCAGGTGACTTGCTCTGATTCGGAGTGTTCCGTCGTCACTTAGGTTAATCATAGTGAGCAGTACATTAACCATTTCTCCATTCACTGTTCTTGTACATGTTCTTATTGGCACCTTCTTACCATTCACACACACAACACACACTCACTTTCACTACACAGCGCACAGTGACAGGAGACCAGTCGCAAACTTAGAGCTATGTCCTGGCGAGGGGCGATGCGTGTATCTTTTAATGAAGGACTCAATAATGACATTAATTCCAATATGCACAAACCAACGTCAGACCCAGATCTGTTACCGTTCAAATGGACAGTCGTTACACCACCGTTATCAGAATTCGCTAATAACAAAAACCATCAGAAACAGACCCACAAAAATGATTCTAACCGCTTGCACCCCGCTCAGTGAAGGCTCACTGCCCAAATATTTTTCACATTAAAGCACATCCTAACACAACAGACACTGGCTTTAGACAAACTTCCAGAGAACACGTTGGTGTAGAAACCTGAATCGTTCGGCTTATATAGGTCTTCCTAAGCCAGTAGTTACAGATGTATGATAAGAATATCGATAACTCACTAGCAAGGACAGTTTAGCCAGTGTTGAAATTCCGTATTTTACCGTAATACCAGACATGTAATAAATACATTATTTTCTGCGGCGACACGACCACGCTGTCGCAGAGGAGTCGCGCATTGCCATTCATACGTCTATCTGTCTCTCTTGCCAATACAATATAACAACAATTGTTAGGCATTATTTGGATTTTTAGATACATTCAACAAAAATTAAGATATAACACCTGTATAAAGCGAGGAGATTGCTGCTACTTTTGTTACCTTTCGTAGATAGAAACGACATGATAATTTACGTCACTTTAAAGGCCATATTTTGACCTCCTACAAAGCTACAAAAACAAGCATCTTGGATATTTTGAGAAAAATGTGAAGAGTATTACGTCTTTCATGAAACGTCGTCACGCACAATTTTTAAAATATCCGCTTCATATCTCACAAGGCCATATTTCTTTTCAAACAGCTGGGAGAATAGCACTTACTTCGACCGTTGAGGGAAAAACTGACTGGACTGAGACAAGTTAATTTGGCGTAAACCAATGTCCATTAGTGTCAAGGGTTCACAAAACATGGATTTATGTACTGTTTATATGAAAAAGTGCGTAATTTACTTTATAAAACTATTAAAGCCAACACAAGACCAGTTTTAGTAACCAAAAACAATTAGCCGTTTTTGTCCAAGATGATAACATTCTATTACTATGTACTCGTCATATGCGAAAGAAGTAAAAGTTAAATAACTACCCGTGACGCAATGTGAACACAGCTACACCAGATCTATATCAGAAGAAAAAACTAGCGCTACGCAAAATTTAGCGGTATTTACAAAATATTATTTGACGAACTTTTCGGCTCGGAGTTCTGGCACATCTGCCAGATTGGGCTGCCACCTCTACCCAAACGGCGAGGGAAGTAGCGGCTGCATTCTGAGTGTAGCGCAAACTTGCTGCTCCGAGCCTTGTGCGTGGGCTCGGTGCGCTAAACCGCAGGCGCTTCCACGTGCAGCCAGTTTCTGTTTCACTGAAGACTGAGCAGCTGTGTTGGCAAGCCGATATGTTCTCCCATTTAAATTTAGTTATTTTTTTGTCTGTAGTGGTTGTTTATGGCGAACGCAACGTTATTTTTTTTTATTCTGTTGGATTTTTTTTTGGTTTTTAAAATTGATACATTTAAAAGCCCCCGCCCCCGCCCTCGCCGGTGCGACCGCACAGTGGCGCAAAGTGAAATCGTGTATGCGTATGGCGCATTCAAATAGCAGGTGCGAGGTTAGAGCTCAATTCAGACGTGGGCCTCTCTTGCATCTACAGTGCCATTACCTCAGGAGAACAATTGAAAACGTGGATGGGATGTGCCAAGAGAGCTGTGAAGAGGTTAATTTATTAATACCTCTTCATTGACTCTAATATTGAAACAATCTATCATATTAACATTTTAGCAATAACTTTAAAAAAACGAACTATGTCAAGCGCAAGAAGTTACAGAAAATTCATGGGTTTCATTTACAAAAATTCAAAAGTTATAACGCAAATTGCACTGCTGCATGTGTATTGATTATAATGTTCTATAAACTAAGATGAATATTCAAGAAAGTATGAGCATATCCTGTGTAAGCGGGGGTCGAACCAATAGCCTTCAATTTACCACGACAGCGTGAGACCGCCTAAATTGTCTATCACCACAATCACATGGAAGGGAAGAGCTCTCAATATCCTCTTACCTGACAAGCAAAAATTCTTCCAAAGAATTACGAAAACTATTAATATTCTGAAAAAAGTTGGGAATATAATGATGTCAGGATCTAATATTCATAAATCGAGAAAGATATATTTTGTTTCAATATTAAAGGTGAGCATCAGGTCAGAAAAAAATCTTTGTCACGAGAGAAAATTCAAAATGGCAGGGCAATTATTTATATTTTTGAAAAATGTACATAAAGTGATATAAAGATATTGATGACTAGATTACCTTCAAACGAAATATTTCTCTTTTTGCCATGAAGTTAGGTAGAGGTTAAAAAATAACATTTATGTTATTATCAAAATTTTGGAAAAATTGTATATAACATTAATTAAAGTTATAATTTTCACGATCGAACTTCATAAAGATAAAAAATCTTTAATAATGTAGTTCAATGCAAAAAAACATAAGACGTGATTTAATAACCACACATTCGATATACCTCATAATACAAAAACATTCTTTAAACGTTCAAAGCAATATATAAACTTCGGGACAGTAACGAACTGCGCCGAGGATATTAGAGCTTTGCAAGACCATTGCCATTCCTCATAATTTCAAAATATTTCACAGAGAGAGGTTGCTCAGGGGATCAAATAATGTTACTGCAGTTCCTCTGACCTGGAGGTTCTATGTTTGAGTCCTGACTGTGGCAGTAGCTAGATAGCTAGGTCGCGTTCTGTAACTGTCTTGAGCAGAATAACAGCGGCCGGCTGCTCTGATCTGTAGTTTTCCGTGGTTTCTCCGAACACCAGGCGAATGCCGGAGCAGTACCGTAACAAACGGGTCACGGACCGTATGCAATATTTCCATCCCATTCCTTGCCCAATCCTACCCCTTACGTACACACACTCACACATCAATACACTATCACACATGTCGGGACACCGATCGGGAGCTTAAGCTTGTCCCAGTTGGGGCGGTGCCCCGCTGGTGGGAGATACCTGGTTCGGGAAAGCCCCGGTAGTAGACGATAGGTCAGCGCTGGATATCACCATCGAGCGTGGGAGATTTACAGCCACCTCCCGAGCAACAAACATTAACTACATTGACGGGACCATGATCTTAGCAGTTGACGCTCCCGGTATCACTAATCAATGAATGAAAATTTTTCGGCGTTTAGAGTAAAGTATACATTTTAGGACAGCTACGTATTGTGCCGAGCACATGAAACCTGTGCCCGTCCTTGCCATTCTGCATAATGTCAAAATATTTCCAGATCCGCTTTGGCGTACGTGTGTGCGCGACCGCCCACTGCTCGCCGCCAGGGCGACCTCCTGCCAGCAGACCTGGCGCGTTCGGCCGCGCCGCCGGTCGGCGTAGCTTTGTGGCGACGGCGCGCACTTTCGCTATAAAATGAAGCGAAATATATCTTCCGACTGCCTTATAAATGTCGCCGCTTTTATATTTCTCTCCGGCCGCGCCTGAATAATCCGCGCCCGCCCCGTCGCCGCGCAAGCCGATGCCAGCGCGGCGGGCGGGCGCCAGGCGAAGCTCCGCGTAGCCTTCAAGAGATTCCGAACGGGGATTGAAACGAGAGCGAAATTTCAGGGGAGACTTTCGATTTACGGAGGACGATATCTCTGCGTGAACATGATAAGCCGAGCCGGAATTTATGGGTACTAAACTATCTGAGTCTGAAAACGTATTTCAAAGAATAGTTGTAAAAGTATGGAGAAAAACAGACATTTAAAAGTTAATTACTATTACAAGTGATCGTAATATATCAAACGAGAATATTGCATAATGCATGTAGTAGAAAATGTTGCAGGTTTAAGGTCAACAGAATAACAAATAAATATTTATTTACAATAGGACTAAAATATAAAAAGCTAATTTTAGTATGATGTGATTTCTTCTGTTAAAAATTGAAGTAAAAGTAAATTCCAATTCATGTGTAAGAAGACGTAATTGCCAGTTCAAGAAACAATTATTTACAAAACAATTTACATTAAACTTTTACATAATTAGCATTTACTTATTCGAATAAAGAACCAACAGTTCAAATCAAGAGTTTACTCACGTTTCAAAGCAAATTAGGGACTGCGAACTCGTATGGAGAGACCACGCGTCCGTTCTCATTCCATTTCGTGAACGAATACATTAGTAACGGTCGACCTGTTTGTTTTTTCAGTCATTCATACTAATAATGCAATAGTGAAACTCTATTGACTACTGAATTTTAATTAACTGACAATTTTAGAAAGAGAAAATATCAGCAATATTAAAAAAATATTGAAATATTTAATATGAGATTTTTCCTCGAATATGTAAAAAATATTGTAACTAATAATAATGGCAATTCAAAAAACGTAATATATTTCAAATCATTTTAATTATCCTAAATGAACTCATAACAATTTTTGTATGCAGTTGTCAAACAAAAACAAACATATTTACTTATATATTTTAGCCATAATGCTTGCCTAAGAAAATATACTAGAAAGTTGAAAAGAAATAGTGCTAAGTCCTTATGACGTTAGATTGAAAAAGTCTACCTTTTAGCGAAAAGGAAACAAGAAATGCAAAGGGAAATCTAAGGAAGTGCTTTAAGGAATAACGACGATAAGAGTGAAGGTAAACTATAATAAACGTAGAATATTCACAAACTTTTGTAGTCTAGCAAACATAACAAATGTCTATATTTTCTCCCTACAACTATAAACGTTTTCTGTGTTGTGTCATAACATCAAATTACGCTGTTTTCTATAGGTTAGAGGTTTCGTGTATTCATTTGCCTTTTATTCCTGCTGCTTACAAATTTCTCCTCAAAGATCCTGGCAGAATATTTGTGTTCTGTTTGATACTTTTTGCAGAGAAGGAAAGCAGTAAAAGCTCCGCAGTTCATGGAAACAGTACGGCTATTAAGGTTAAATTGTATCTCGTTATGTATTTCAGCGTTACCGCAGAATCCCGGTACGCAGCTGTAGGTTTTTCTCTGCTATTTCGGTGAAACGGCAAGTTCTGTTGACCCGCGCACTTCATTGTGACGTCCAAATGTACTCAAGCATCTTCCTCATAGACAAGGTGAGTGTCCAACAAGAAATATTCGATACTGAGCTACGATGCATAGAAAACGTTATAATACACAAATATGGAATACATGCATTTTATTGAATCATTTTCGAAAAACAGCGCAAAGAAATTGCAAGTATATCTACTTATTGAGGTAGAGACACGCAACGTAAAGTCTAACGTTATTTTCTGGATAAACGACGAAAAGGTGTCAAAAATCGTTAATTACCATTTCAATGTGACTTTAGAATAAGTATATAAAGGTGAGCATTCAACGCTGTGTTATTAAATAAATCGTGCAACGAAGTCGTTAGCGTACAAAATATATTATTTTACAAAACAAATTTCCTATTTGAATCTTAAAAGTCCGATTTCTAACGCTGGTGGGGATGTCGCAGCCACTCTCCTATTTAACGACGTCGTTTGTGGAACACACGGATTAATACTTGGAAATTAATATCGGTTCAAACAGAAATGTATCCTTGCACATTTCGATGCATTGCAATGAATTCTCGAAATTGCGGATGCAGACCCAAGCGGGCAGGAAATAACCAACTTTCCTCGGACATTTTCCAGTAATGAAGTACTGAGCAATAAATTTACATGAGCTATGTTAAATCAGACGAGAGAAACGTCAAAACGTATTTTTTCAGATCTCAAAAATCGAAATTAGCATAAAATGAAATGAAGGTGTAATTAGGAAAATGATTGTGTCATAACCGATACAATTACACACATATTTGCTAATTAGAGCTGATTTGTGCGTGCGCTTTCAGAACTTCAAGCTATTTTCTACGAAAAATATAATTTAAAAACTGGAAGAACGATATAATTAATAAACTTCCATTAAATGCGTACGACATACTTGATTTCAGTCGCGCGCAACAATACAAAACCATACCACTCTCTGCACTTTTGTTTCAGAACGTAAAATTCAAAGCATAAAAACACACACAACACCACACACACACACAGGGGAAAAAAGGGGGAAAGAGGGATGGTTTTTTTTTTTTTCAAGTCATTTCAATACTAATAAAATGGCAAATAGTGAAAACTCTATTGACTACTGATTTTTTAATTACTGACAATTTTAAGAAAGCAGAAAATATCAGCAAATTAAAAAATATTGAAAATATTTAATATGAGATTTTTCTCGAATATGTAAAAAATATTTGTAACTAATAATAAATGGCAAAATTCAAAAACGTAATATATTTCAAATCATTTTAATTATCCTAAATACAACTCATAACAATTTTTGGTATCAGTTGTCACACACACAAACACAACATATTTACTTTATATTTTAGCCAAATGCTTGCCTAAGAAATATACTAGAAAGTTGAAAAGAAATATGCTAAGCTTCCTTATGACGTTAGATTGAAAAAGTCTACTTTAGCGAAAAGGAAACAAGAAATGCAAAAGGGAAATCTAAGGAAGTGCTTTAAAGGAATAACGACGATAAGAGTGAAGGTAAACTATAAATCACGTTAGAATATTCACAAACTTTGTAGTCCTAGCAAACTATAACAAATGTCTCATATTTTCTCCCTAAACTATCAACGTTTTCTGTGTTGTATCATAACATCAAATTACGCTGGTTTTCTAAAGGTTTAGAGGTTTTGTGTATCATTGGCCTTTTATTCTTTGCTGCTTTAAAATTTCTTCCTCAAAGATCCTGGCAGAATACTTTTGTGTTCTGTTTGATACTTTTTTGCAGAGAAAGGGAAAGCAGTAAAAGCTCCGCAGTTCATGGAAACAGTAACGGCATTAGGTTAAATTGTATCTCGTTATGTTATTTCAGCGTTCCGCAGAATCCCGACGCAGCTGGAGGTTTTCTCTGCTATTTCGGTGAAAACGGCAAGTTCTGTTGACCCGCGCACTCATTGTGACGCTCCAATGTAACTCAATAGCATCTTCCTCTTTAGACAAGGTAGGTCCAACAAGAAATATGTCGATACTGAGCTACGATGCATAGAATAACGTTATAATACACAAATAATGGAATAACATGCATTTTATTGAAATCATTTTCTTCGAAAAACAGCTCAAAGAATTGCAAGTATATCTAACTTAACTTGCAGGTAGAGAACCACGCAACCGTAAAGTCTAACGTTATTTTCGCTGGATAAACCGCGACGAAAAAGGTGTCCAAAAATCGTTAATCTAACCATTTCAATGTGACTTTCAGAATAAGTATATAAAGGTGAGCTTCAACGCTGTGGTATTAAATATAATCTGCAACGAAGTCGTTAGCGTACAAATACTATTATTTTTACAAGAACAAATTTCCTAATCTTGAAATCTTAAAAGTCCGATTTTCTACAAGGCTGGTGGGGATGTCGCAGCCACTTCCTATTTTAACGACGTCGTTTGTTGGAACACCGGATTAATACTTGGAAATTAATATCGGTTCAAACAGAAATGTACTCCCTTGCACAATTTTCGATGGCTTATATGCAATGAATTCCTCGAAATTGGGATGCAGACCGGCAAGCGGGCAGGAAATACCCACTTTCCTCGGACATTTTCCAGTAATGCAGTACTTGAGCAATAAATTTACATGAGCTATGTTAAATTCAGAACGGAGAGAAACGTTAAAACGTATTTTTTCATGATCTACAAAAAATCGAAATTAGCATAAATGAAAATGAAGGTGTAATTAGGAAACACTGATTGTGTCATAACCGGATACAATTCACAAACACATATTTGTAATTCGAGCTGATTTGTGCGTGCGCTTTTCAAGAAC